GTCACAGGGTGAAGACAAGAGGGCAAAGTGCTCACCCACATCCTACCTCCCTTAGGAAAAGCAGTTTGGTTTCTTGAAAGAAAACGCTGCCATTCCCAGAAGAAGCAAAAAACCCCGTGCTACCTCCATTTCCCTATCATCCCAGATGCTGAGAGAACACTGACATTTCCTTATTTTTAGTTTTTTATGTATTATATTTTAAGTTCTGGGGAACATGTGCAGAACGTGCAGGTTTGTTACATAGGTATACACGTGCCATGGCGGTGGTTTGCTGCATCCATCACCCCATCATCTACATTAGGTGTTTCTCCTAATGCTATCCCTCTCCAACCCCCCTCCGACATTTCTTATTTCGCTTGTCTCCTCCTTGTCCCAGGGCCTAGAATTTATTCCTTCATGCAACAAGGCCTGTGCTGGGTAATAAGACCACCAGTAGAAGCCTCCAGGCTGGGGGTGGTGGCTCACACCTGTAATCCCAGCACTTCTGGAGGCCAAGGTGGATCACCTAAGGTCAGGAGTTTGAAACCATCCCGGCTAACATGGTGAAACCCCATTTCCAGTAAAAATACAAAAATTAGCGGGGCTTGGTGGCATGCGCCTGTAATTCCAGCTACTTGGGAGACCAAGGCAGGAGAATCGCTTCAACCTGGGAGATGGAGGTTGCCGTGAGTCGAGATCATGCCATTGCACCTTAGCCTGGGTGACAGAGAGAGACTCTGTCTCAAAAAAAAGAAAAAGAAAAAGAAAAAGAAAAGCCTCTGGCCATTTCTGGGGGAGGCTTGTGGGACAGCATCTTTTTCTGAGAAATGGAGAAGGGGAGCAGATGCCTCCCTCACACTTTGGCAGGAGCCGAAGAACTTCTGTATTTGGGTCTGATGTCCTCTCAACTGAGCTGATGCAGACCACTGCCCGATGCAGTGTGTGTGCAAGTGGCAGTGGTGGGTGGGCGGGAACACCAGGAAGTGTTCATACGTGGATTGAGGAAGTTTGGAGCATCATGGGAACAGAATGTGCTGGCCCTGTCCTGAGCCATCCCCAAGCCCCTCCCACTTCCCTGGTCACTAACCAGTTCCAGTTGTGCACAGCCCTGACCATCACGTCCCATACGGCTTCTAGGAACTTATGGGTAATTAAAGAAGTGTGTGTGTCTGTCTGTGTTTGTGGGTATGTAGGGAAGTCCTCTTAAAAACAGAGGTTTCCAGGGTAACAGCTTAAAAATTCCACCCTACTCCGCCAGGGAAGATTCCCTATCTCCTGACCCCCTTGGGGCTCTGAAGGGGAAACAAGTCAGAGCCTAACACCGCCAACTCCCCCATTTCTCCAGCTCAAGGGCAAAGTCAGGGCCAGCCCTAACTTGGTTACAGCTCATGTTTTTCTCACCTCCAGTTTCCAGCTTCAGGCTCCAGACTTGCCCTTGCATTAGGATGTCCAGCCCTCCAGGGTTCCCCTTCCTTCTTTCCCTAGCTTCCCTGCCCACTGCCTCCACAGGATAACGGTGGCTGTCAGAGGGGGTGGGCTTTGAGATTAGCTTCTCCTGGGCTTAGAAATCTCTATAAACTTTTGCCTTCCACCCGTAGCCCCGTGGCCCCTCTTCATTCAAAAATATTCTCAGAAGTCTACCCTACTCCCAGTTGCTATAGTTTAAAATATTGTCACTAAAAATATTGCTATAAAAGTATTTTGCCACAATTTGTGGACAGAGAGGAAAACCAGTTTGCAGGAAAGACAAAGAGTCCATTTGCTTCTGTCAGATCAAGGGCTCTTTTTGGGGCAGGTCAGCCACATGTCCTAACCCTTCACACACATGCCCACATCTCCCCCAGAGAGAGATGACAAATTCTGAGGGAAAAAGAGCTGGGTCAGCCTGGCTCGGGGTAGGAGCTGGCGGAGGGAGTGGTCATGATGCTTTGCTGGCAACAATTAGTCATACAGTCCTTGCACTGGTACTCGGCCTGCAGCTCCTGACTCTAGGAGCTTTGGTTTGGGTGCCTGTGGGAACTCTGGGAGACTGAAGAGTGCTGAGCAAAGATGGCAGGTTTAGAGTCTGCTCTGGGCTCCGCTGCTTTCTAGCTATGTGGCCTGAAGCAACTTATTACTCAGTTTCTTTTTCTGTATAAAGATGGTAACATTGGCCGGACGCAGTGGCTCATGCCTCTAATCCCAGCACTTTGGGAGGCCAAGGTGGGCAGATCACTTGAGCTCAGGAGTTTGAGACCAGCTTGGCCAACATAGTGAAATCCTGTCTCTACTAAAAGTACAAAAATTAGCCTGGTATGTGGCACGCGCCTGTAATCCCAGCTACTGGGATGGCTGAGGCAGGAGAATTACTTGAACCCGAGAAACAAAGGTTGCAGTGAGCCGAGATTGCACCACTGCACTCCAGCCTGGGCTACAGAACGAGACTCAGTCTCAGAAAAAGGAAATAAAAAAGGATAATACTGACTCAGGGGTTGTTGTTGAAATTTAAATGAAGTTAACTATGTGGCAGCTTTCACTTTTGAATTATTCTCTCTCCTGGCTCCTAAGCTGCTAGAATGTGGTTCCATCCCCAGGCCTTCTGAGGCCAGAGTTAGTGCCCACCCTTAGCTTATGATAATCACTATCTCTCTCACTAACACACTAACTATATATAATATATATATATATATATATATATTTTTTTTTTTTTTTTTTTTTTTCCTGGCTAGGCACAGTGGCTGACACCTGTAATCACAGCACTTTGGGAGGCCGAGGTGGGCGGATCACTTGAGCCCAAGACCAGCCTGAGCAACACAGGAAACCTGCCTGCCCCACCCTCCACTGTCCCTACAAAAAATACAAAAATTAGCTGAGCTAGGTGGTATGTGCCTGTAGCCCCAGCTATACAGAAGGATGAGGTGGGAGGATCGATTGAGCCCAGGAGGTAGAGGTTGCAGTGAGCCAGCCAGGATTGCACCGCTGCACTCCAGCCTGGGCATTACAGCCTTGAATATATACATATAATATATATATATATATATAATATATATATAATATGTATAATATATATATATTTTTTCCTTACATGCGGTTTCTAAAGGGAGGGAGTAATTTGCTGTAACATTCATTTTTCTTTACTCCTGTCCCTTGCACCCTCCTTGTCTGTGTCTTCCCTCCCCTGCCCCACCTCTCCCCCATTATCCACACTGGCATCTTAAGTGCTCTCCTTCATCCCAGCCAGTCTCCAAAGAAATGCATCAAAATGTTACTAGTGGTTCTCTTTTGGGTAGCATTCACTGGTGGTTTTCATTTTCTTCCTTGCTTGTTTTGGTATTTTCTAACACCAAATACTATAATGAATAATGGATAACTTATTCAGAGAAAAAACACAAAACATCAATTTTAAAAATCATAATTAATTTTTTTTTCAAGATGGGGTTTCACCATGTTGGTCAGGCTGGTCTTGAACTCCCGACCTCAGGTGATCCGCCCGCCTTGGCCTCCAAAGTGCTTGGATAACAGGCGTGAGCCACCACGTCTGGCCCATAATTAATTTTTAAATGACCCATGTTCTGTTCTCGAAAGGGAAAGACTGGAGGGTAGGGGGTAAAAAGAAGGAGGAAAGTGAGGAGAAAGAGCCCTGCAGGGGGCTGAGCTCTCCCCAAACTCCGTCATCATCTCCTGGGTGCATCAGCCTTGGTGATGGGCCCTGTCACTCATCACTCAGAGGCTTTCTGTCCTACCTTGCCTGCCACTGATCACTTGGGACTTAGTCACCCAATGATTATCAGTTGGGAGGTGGAGGGGTCAGAGGGACCAGCATCACTGAGGGCAGCAGTATGAATCAGGAACATCCTCCACCTTGGTCCTGGGGTGTGAGGTGTTCCGTGGCCTCCCAGCCCTTCTGAGAACATGAGTTCAGTTACCCTTTTCCCCATTCTTATGTCTACTTGACTGTGCTTTTGAACAAGATGCAAATGTTTTATGATGCGTAACTGATGGTGGAGCCTTCGGTGGGCTCCTAACTAATTAAAGAACAAAGCTCTAAGTGTCAGTGTGGTGTAAGGAAAGAGCACGAGTTACAGAGTCAGCAGACGGATTTCAATAAGGTCAGGCCAGTTGGGAGCTCCATGTTCTTGGTCAAATTTCCCTTTCTGAGTTATCTACTTCCTCCTACAAAAAGTGGCCAGAAGAATTCTCCCCTTACAGGATGGCTGTGAGAACTAAAGGAGGTAATATATAAAGTATGTAATACATAGTGACTATGGGTTTTTTTTTTACTTTTTACTTTTTATTTTTTTTTTTTGAGACAGAGTCTCCATCTGTTGCCCAGTGGAGTACAGTGGCAGCAATCTCGGCTCACTGCAACCTCTGCCTCCTGGGTTCAGGTGATTCTCCTGCCTCAGCCTCCCAGGTAGCTGGGATTACAGGTGTATGCCACCACGCCTGGCTAATTTTTGTGTTTTTAGTAGAGACAGGGTTTCACCATGTTGGCCAGGATGGTCTCGATCTCTTGACCTCTTGATCCATTCGCCTCGGCCTCCCAAAGTGCTGGAATTACAGGCGTGAGCAACCACACCTAGCCAAAATAATGACTTTTTATTAAAGCAGACAAAAGTTGTTTCAGGAGCATTTATATTCCCAACTTGGTCTTGGATGCAAAGAAACTGAGACTTCACCCTTGACTCTTCACCTGAAACCCAAACTACCTCAGCTGTTTCCTACCTCTCAGCTTATCCTAGGGAGACCTGAAGGTAGGAGCAGAGCGATTTTCTGGACCAGGGTCCCTGGGGCACAGCAATGTCTTACTCCAGAGGATGGCCACAATCCCTAACTCTAGTCTCTCTAGAGGTTCTGATTCTCATCCTACCCGGATGCTCACCCCAGGGCAGTATTTTTGAAAAGTTTTCCCATCTCCAGCAGAGGACTCTGAGGGAAAGGATTGGGAACTCTCTTTGGCTTCCGCTCTCTGGTAGGGCAAGGGTAAATGGTGAATTGCAACATATCTCTTGGCTGAGTCACCTCCCTCTGCCTCTCCCCCCAATTCCCCTCAGTTGTTATAAAGAGGACCAGAGGCTGGAGAGTAAAAAGAACTGGAGGTAAGAGCCCCTCTGCCTAGCACTGCTCCCCCAGGCTCCCAGAAATCTCAGGTCAAAGTGCACGGACAGCCGCTGGAGCTCTTATCTGGTGGGACCATGAAGTGGCAGCAGCTGTGGCTGAGCTTCCTACTTCCCATGACAGTCTCAGGCCGGGTCCCGGGGCTTGTGGAGAAGGAGATGGCCATGGTAAGTCCCCCAGGAAAGAGACCTGGGCCAGGGGAGAGACAGGGGTTACTGCTCCACGGCCTCAGCCAAGCCTCCCTCTTTCAGCCTTCCTGCTTTTCCCTTGCTCCCTCTGCCCCATGGTCTACCCTGCCCATCTCCCGCTGCTTCCCCTTGTTCCATCTGAGCCGCTTCTCTAAGGTGCTTCTCCATTAGTGCTTCCATATCTGGCTCCTCTTCTCCTTTCTTTTTCTTTTTTTTTTGAGACAGAGTTTCACTCTTGTTGTCTAGGCTGGAGAGCAATGGTGCAATCTCAGCTCACTGCAACCTCCGCCTCCCAGGTTTAAGCGATTCTCCTGCCTCAGCCTCCCTAGTAGCTGGGATTGCAGGCATGCACATCCAGCTAATTTTGTATTTTTAGTAGAGATGGGGTTTCTCCATGTTTGTCAGGCTAGTCTCGAACTCCCAACCTCAGATGATCTGCCCACCTCGGCCTCCCAAAGTGCTGGGATTACAGGCATGAGCCACCGCACCTGGGCTCCATCCTCTCCTGATTGACCTGTTAGGTCACTTAGAAGCTTTACTCTGAGACTAACCCCTTTCATCTGCTTATCTCCACCCCCATTATAGGAGTACCTGTTGCAATATGGGTACCTACAGAAGCCTCTAGAAGGACCTAATAACTTCAAGCCAGAAGATATCACCGAGGCTCTGAGGTGAGAAGCTATGAGGTGCATACCCTTAGGGCCAAGGTCTCAAGGTCTTCTCCCTTCTCATCCCTTCCTCTCTCCAGGCCCACCTCCACCTGACCCTAAACCATGCCAGGGATCTAGAGATGGGTGTAGATCGTTATTACGGTGGTGGGGCATGGGGTGAGAAGGGGATTCACAGATGAGGAATATAGTCATTCGATCTTCCTAGGCCCCATGCACTCCTTTGGAGTCTCTGCCCACATCATATCTCAAATACTAATATATTTAGTTGCAGCCCACATAAAGTGTAATGATATGTAAAACTATGAGTTGAGTTGTTGACATGCTATTACCTTTTGTGGGCCTTTGATTCAGTACTTATTTCTATTTTATAGTTTTATATGTTGATGTAATGGATTGTTTTCCTTTCTGCTCTCAGATATGTTTAGGTCCCTTGAAAAGCCCATAGGCTCTATGACAGTCCACAACTGAATGAAACTGCTCCAGAGCAAGCTGGGCTGGGGGGGTATCCAGCCAGGAGAGGAGAAGGCTGGAGGAGGACAGGCTGTCAGGTGGGAGCACCAGTGGAAAGATCTCCAGAGCAGGGGAGCCAGACACCCCCGCAGAGTAGGAGAAGGTTAGATATTGCACTAGGGGGGCTTGGCACTGTGGCTCATGCCTGTAATCCCAGCACTTTGGGAGGCCCAGGCAGGAGGATTGCTTGAGCCCAGGAGTTCGAGAGCAACCTGGGCGACATAGTGAGACCACCATCTCTAAAAAAAAAAAAAAAAGAAAAGAAAAGAAAAGGAAGGAAGGAAAAGAAAAGAAGGAAAAAAATTGCTTCAGGGATTCTGTGCTATTCTTGGCCATGATCTCGGGCAGCAGGAAGTAAAAGAGCAATCATCTCCAGATCCCAATCATTCCAGATTTGCCTGTCCTGGTAGACCCATCCCTCTCCCTCCTTCAGAGCTTTTCAGGAAGCATCTGAACTTCCAGTCTCAGGTCAGCTGGATGACGCCACAAGGGCCCGCATGAGGCAGCCTCGTTGTGGCCTAGAGGATCCCTTCAACCAGAAGACTCTTAAATACCTGCTGCTGGGTGAGAAGGAAGCCTGGAAAAGAAAGGGAGAGGAGGGGGTGATGTGGTTCTGGAGCGTGCGTGGTATTAGCACAGTCTGGACCAGCTCAGTGTTGAATAGATAATCACCTGGTGATGACCTGATTATCACCTGTCTTGGGGGTTGAGTGCCCAAACCCGGGGGAGCTCTCTGGGGTTGGCAGAAGGATCTGTATTTCTAATCCGTTTTCTGGTCATTAACTAGGCCGCTGGAGAAAGAAGCACCTGACTTTCCGCATCATGAACCTGCCCTCCACCCTTCCACCCCACACAGCCCAAGCGGCCCTGCATCAAGCCTTCCAGTACTGGAGCAATGTGGCTCCTTTGACCTTCCAAGAGGTGAAGGCTGGCAGGGCTGACATCCGCCTCTCCTTCCATGGCCGCCAAAGCCTGTACTGTTCCAATGCTTTTGATGGGCCTGGTAGGCAACAGTTCTCAGTTCCCACCTCACAGACCTCTGAGATTACCACTGTCTCCTTGAACCAGTGACTCTGGAACCTTGATGTTTGGGCTGCCCTTTATCCCACCTGCACTGTACACTCTCTAATTACCTTCTAATATTCCCCAGGGGAGCAGTTGGTCACCTAGATGGAGCATCCTCTTTGAAACTTATGCTTCTTTCTTTCCTTTTCCCTCCCTCCCTCCCTCCCTCCCTCTCTCTTTTTTTTTTTTTTTTTTTTTTTTTTTTTTTTTTACGGAGTTTCGCTCTTGTTACCCAGGCTGGAGCGCAATGGCGCGATCTCGGCTCACCGCAGCCTCCGCCTCCTAGGTTCAGGCAATTCTCCTGCCTCAGCCTCCTGAGTAGCTGGGATTACAGGCACACGCCACCATGCCCAGCTGAATTTTTGTATTTGTAGTAGAGACGGGGTTTCACCATGTTGACCAGGATGGTCTCGATCTCTTGACCTCGTGATCCACCCGCCTCGGCCTCCCAAAGTGCTGGGATTACAGGCTTGAGCCACCGCGCCCGGCTCTTTTTTTTTTTTTTGAGATGGAGTTTTGCTCTTGCTGCCCAGGCTGGAGTGCAATGGCGCTATCTTGGTTCACCGCCACCTCCCCCTCCTGGGTTCAAGCAATTCTCCTGCCTCAGCTTCCTGAGTAGCTGCGATTACAAGCATGCACCACCACGCCCAGCTAATTTTTTTTGTATTTTTAGTAGAGACGGGGTTTCACCATGTTGACCAGGATGGTCTCGATCTCTTGACCTCGTGATCCACCCGCCTCGGCCTCCCAAAGTGCTGGGATTAGTGGTGTGAGCCACTGTGCCCAGCTCTCTCTCTCTTTCTTCTCTCCCTCCCTCTCTTGCTTGCTTGACAGGGTCTCACTCTGTTGCCAAGACTGGAATACAGTGGCGCAATCATGGCTCACTAAAGCCTCAACCTCCCAGGCTCAAGTGATCCTCCTGCCCCAGCCTCCCAGGTAGCCAAGACTACAGGCACATGCTACCACGCCTGACTAATTTTTGTATTTTTTTGTGTGTGTGGAGATGAGGTTTTGCTATGTTGCCCATGCTGGTCTTAAACTCCTGGGCTTGAGCAATCCTCCCGCCTTGGCCTCTTAAAGTGTTGGGATTACAGGCGTGAGCCATCACCCCTGGCTGCCTATGCTTCTTTTTCTGCCTTAAGTTCCCTTGCTCAAGGAATACCTTAAAGGTATGGGCCAGAGAAGACTGGGCCAGAGAGCAGGGAGTGGTGGGAGGTAAAGGGACAGTGATGGGCATTCCTGAGAGAACTAGGTGATGACAGGGGAATCTGAAAGGAGAGAAAGAAACATCCAAGAGACAGTGAACATAGCTGCGGGAATTTTAAGGGCATGGATTAATTAGAGATTATAATAGGCAGGGTGTGCTCTAGCCTAGCGGGCTCTGACCTCCTTCCTGTTCACCTTTGCCTTTTGTTCAGGGAGAGTCCTGGCCCATGCTGACATCCCAGAACTGGGCAGTGTGCACTTTGATGAAGATGAGTTCTGGACTGAGGGGACCTATCGCGGGGTGAACCTGCGCATCATTGCAGCCCATGAAGTGGGCCATGCCCTGGGGCTTGGGCACTCCCGATATACCCAGGCCCTCATGGCCCCAGTCTACCATGGCTACCAGCCTCACTTCAAGCTGCACCCAGATGATGTGGCAGGGATCCAGGCTCTCTATGGTCAGTCCCTCTCCCTAATGAGGGGGAGGGTCAGTCTGACTCCCATGTCTAAGCTTGAAGAGACTAGCCTCCATGTAAAGATATAGCTTGGCATCTTTCTTCTCCTCCAGCCCGGTTATTCAGGCTTCTTCATTTTCGGGAAGTTTCTCTATGACTTTTCTATGTTTAATCTTCCTTCCAGGCCTCTCTCTCCTTACAGCTGTGGTTGGTACTTTTCTTCTTCTCTTTCTTCTTTCTTTTCTTCTTTCTTCTTTCTCCTTCTTCCTTCTTCTTCCTTCTTCTTCCTTCTTCTTCCTTCTTCCTCCTCCTCCTCCTCCTCCTCCTTCTTCTTCTTCTTCTCTTCTTCTCCTTCTTCTTCTTTTTTAAGACAGAGTCTCTCTCTGTCACCCAGGCTGGAATGCAATGGTGCCATCTTGGCTCACTGCAACCTCTGCCTCTCGGGTTCAAGTAATTATCCTGCCTCAGCCTCCCAAGTAGCTGGGATTACAGGCGTACACCGTCATACCTAGCTAATTTTTTTTTGTATTTTGGTAGAGACAGGGTTTCACCATGTTGCCCAGGCTGGTCTCAAACTCCTGAGCTCAGGCAATCCAACCACTTCTGCCTCCCAAAGTGTTAGGATTACAGGCATGAGCCACCAGGCCCAGCAAGAATGCAGCTTTTTGTTGTTGTTGTTGTTGTTGTTGAGGTGGAGTCTCACTCTGTTGCCCAGGCTGGATTGCAGTGGCGTGATCTTGGCTCACTGAAATTTCCACCTCCTGGACTGAAGTGATTCTCCTGCTTGAGCCTCCTGAGTAGCTGGGATTACAGGCATGTGTCACCATGCCTGGCTAATTTTTTTTTTTTTTTTTTTTTTTTTTTTGAGACGGAGTTTCGCTCTTGTTACCCAGGCTGGAGTGCAATGGTGCGATCTCGGCTCACCGCAACCTCGGCCTCCTGGGTTCAGGCAATTCTCCTGCCTTGGCCTCCTGAGTAGCTGGGATTACAGGCACACACCACCATGCCCAGCTTATTTTTTGTATTTTTAGTAGAGACGGGGTTTCACCATGTTGACAAGGATGGTCTCGATCTCTTGACCTCGTGATCCACCCGCCTCGGCCTCCCAAAGTGCTGGGATTACAGGCTTGAGCCACCGCGCCCGGCCAAGAATGCATATTCTAACAGTCCTCCTTCCCCCTTTCTGATGCCTCTCAAACCTATAACATGTCTCCTGCTGATATAACATAATATTGCTTACCACGAATGCAAACACACTAGGATTCCCTTTTCCCCTCTGTATGGGGAAAGTTTTGCTCCTGTAAGCAAAACTTACAGGAGACTGGTATGGAAGCCAGGTGCTGTGAGTTCTTTCCCTAAACAGCATTACTTATCTTATAGGCAAGAAGATTCCAGTGATAAGGGACGAGGAAGAAGAGACAGAGCAGCCCACTGTGCCCCCAGTGCCCACAGAACCCAGTCCCATGCCAGACCCCTGCAGTAGTGAACTGGATGCCATGATGCTGGGTGAGGCCCTTCCCCTCCGGGCTATTGGCAGGCAGTGGGGGCAGCCTGCTGATCCTGAGGCCTGGACATATGGGAGTGACATGGGACTTTAGCATGAGCAACGGAAGTTAGACCACAGGCAGGTATTAATGACCATGGAAGGAGACATGTGACATGGGGAGGGAGAGTTCAGAGCCAAATTAAAGGTGGCTTAGGCAGGCATTTACCAAGGTTGCCACCCTCTGAGGGCCACTAGAACACATCTGGAAATAAAGATGGAGAAAACTATATTAGCCAGATTGCCTGTTAGAGAGGGTGTTGCACCTGGTTGGAAGGACAACTAGGAAGCCCCCTGGAGAGGAGGGTGAGGTTCCCAAGGAGGAACAGCTATCTGCAGGGCTTTTGTTTTGTTGAGTGGACCAAAGCTGAAATATTCTGATCCACAAAGGTTCTGAGTCCTCTTTCCCTGCCTTTAATTTTCTCTTTGAATTAAAGCTGAATGAATTTTGGAAGAACCGGTCTGCAGGGAGAGGGCAAATTGTTAGTCTGCCTGAGATACCCCTAAGTCTCTGCCTACTTGACCTCTGTCTTTTTGACTTGTTGACACACCATTACTCTCAGGGCCCAGTGGGAAGACCTATGCTTTCAAGGGGGACTACGTGTGGACTGTATCAGATTCAGGACGGGGCCCCTTGTTCCGAGTGTCTGCCCTTTGGAAGGGGCTCCCCGGAAACCTGGATGCTGCTGTCTACTCTCCTCGAACACAATGGATTTACTTCTTTAAGGGTAAGGGGGCTAGTTACAGTGTCTTACTTGAGGAGGGCCTAATCTTAAAGAAACTATAAAAGGGAGGGAGATGAGAAGTTTCTGAAAGGGTGGACCAAAGGAGACCAAAACCTATCACCTGAGGTGACTTGTACTCTCCTCACGTGCTCTCAGGAGACAGGGTGTGGCGCTACGTTAATTTCAGGATGTCTCCTGGCTTCCCCAAGAAGCTGAACAAAGTAGAACCTAACCTGGATGCAGCTCTCTATTGGCCTTTCAACAAAAAGGTGTTCCTCTTTAAGGTATAAAATTCAAAGCAAGGGCAAATCCCTTCTTAGGAGGGGCGGGCTACCTTAGACCGAGAAGCGAAGCTTGTGCTGGAAGGGAGATGTTCTGTAGCTGCAGTGGGCTGGGGGTAGACCTTGGGTTCCCTAACTCTCTCCTCTTCATCTCCCCGGTCCCCATCCATCCCATACCCAGGGCTCCGGGTACTGGCAGTGGGATGAGCTAGCCCACACTGACTTCAGCAGCTACCCCAAACCAATCAAGGGTTTGTTTACGGGAGTGCCAAACCAGCCCTCGGCTGCTACGAGTTGGCAGGACGGCCGACTCTACTTCTTCAAGGGCAAAGTGTACTGGCGCCTCAACCAACAGCTTCGAGTAGAGAAAGGCTATCCCAGAAATATTGCCGACCACTGGATGCACTGTCATCCCCAGACTGTAGACACTACCCCATCAGGTGGGGACACCACTCCTTCAGGTACGGGCACAATCTTGGATACCACTCATTCAGCCATAGATACCACGTTGAATGAACACTGACAGCTCACCCACAGACACAATATTGGACATTACTCCCTGAGCCACAGGCTCCACCACCCTTTCATTCCCTGCTAATGTCACCCTCCCAGAGGCCTAATACCTGAAGCAAATACCTGTCTGCTCAGTAGAACCTTGCAGGTGCTGCAGCAGGGGCATGACTGTGGACCTCAGGCCTCTAACAGTTCCACTGTCCTGTGCTCTTTCACTCCTGAGAAGTGATCCCCTAACTCAGATTCAGCCCCCAACTCCATTTCCTCCCTGTCCTAGACAGCCCTTCCAAATGTGTCATTTCTTCTCTGGAGGTCAATGGTGGAGGGAGATGCCTGGATCCTGTTCTTCCTATATAAAATGTAAGAAAACAGCATGGCCAGTAAACTGAGCAAGGGCCTTGGAATCCTTGAGAATCACATTTACTTGCTTATGATTATGGGCAAGCTAATTAGCCCTATGGAACCTCAGATTCCCCTTTTGGAACATTAGGTAAATACCAGTCCTGCAGGGTTGTTGCACTAAATGAAATACTGTATGGAAGTGCCTGGCACAGTGTCAGGTACATTTGTGTTTAATAAAGGCTAACTCCATGTTCATAAGAGAGTACTGAACAGCTCTTCCTCTAGCTGTCTGGGTGTGTAACTCTTACAGTAGCCTGTACAATAAAGGTACCTCCATTAGATCTTTGTGGGACAGAGGATTTGTCAGGATGGTTAGTTTTTTGTTTTGGGGTGCAGAGAAAGAAAAGAGCAGCAACAGCAGAGGCTGGACTCCCTGGTTCAGTATTTAATGCCATTTTATTCACATGCTCCCATGTTCTCCCTCCCTCCCATTATAGCCTTGCTGCCCAGGGGAGGGATATATCTTCCTTTATGCATCTGGGAAACCAGGAACAGACCTTGGGCAGGAGAGTCAGAGGGGGAAGAGTTAGAATGGGTTAGTGGCTGGAATAAACTTCTGGTGAAGGAGGAGGTTCCCCACAGTGGGAGACAGAGAAGGCACTTGTCTCCTATGCAGCCCCGAAGACCAGGCTCCTTTGGGCAAAAGGTAAGACTCTGGCATGCAGGCCAATGCTCTCTCCTTGGAGCAAGAAGCCAGCTTCTGGGGAAGGCAGGACCTGAGGCAGGCACTGCCCTGTGGTCTTCCCCAGGCTGAGGAGAGAAGTAGAAGCACCATGGAAGACATTGCTCCCAGCTGAGGTAGGAGGCAGAGGTTTAAGGCTATGGGGTCCAGGTGGAAAGGCCAAACAGAAACCCAACTACCCCCTAATGAGGGTCCTGGAGGTTGGGGTATGCTAGAGCTCCTCAGAGTCCTTCTTCCCATCAAAAAGCTATCAAATGCCTTGAAAATTCCCTGATTTTCTATAGATCCTACAAAACAAAAAAACACTTTTTTTTTTTTTTACCACTGTGAGGCATGCTGAGGTGGATACTTAAAAGACTATTTCCAGGCCAGGTGCGGTGACTATAATCCCAGCAATTTGGGAGGCTGAAGCACGAGGATCACTAGAGCCCAGGAGTTCAAGACCAGCCTGGGCAACATAGTGAGATCCTGTCTCTGCAAAAAAATAAAAATAAAAATAAATAAATAAAATTAGCTGTGTGTGGCATCTGTGGTCTCAGCCACCCAGGAGGCTGAATGGGAGGCTCGCTTGGGCCCGGTAAGTCAAGTTGTCATGAGGTGTGATCACACCATGGCATTCCAGCCTCGATGACAGAACAAGAGCTTGTCTCAAAAGAAAAAAAAAAAAAAGGCTATATAGGTAAGGCTTGGTGGGAATTTGGGAGTCAGTTTCTTTCTTTCTTTCTTTTTTTCTTTTTTGAGATGGAGTCTCACTTTGTCACCCAGGCTGGAGTGCAATGGCACAGTCTCGGCTCCCTGCAACCTCCGCCCCCTGGGTTCAAGCGATTCTCCTGCCTCAGTCTCCTAAGCAGTTGGGATTATATGCACCCGCCACCACGCCCAGCTAATTTTTGTATTTTTAGTAGAGACGAGGTTTCACCATGTTGGCCAGGCTGGTCTCAAACTCCTGACCTCGTGATCTGCCTGCCTTGGCCTCCCAAAGTGCTGGGATTACAGGCGTGAGCCACCGTGCTGGGCCAGGAGTCAGTCTCTTTGGGGACCAGGGCACCTCTATTATTGGTGAGAGGTAGGTATTCATACTTCCCTTCCTCCCCCTTCCCCACAGGACTCCTCTCTGTTCTTTAAACATATCCCTACAAGGCTGGTCTGGGTTAAAGCACAGATCCTATCCCCAAGTCCAAGAAGTGGGGAAGTTTGTGTGCGGGCCCTGTGGGCTCCAACCCTGCTCACCTAGTGTTCCCAGGCCCTCATGGGGTGAGGGGAAAAGTGGAGGTCTAGGTTCAGGTCTGGTTAGAACCAGAGGATATGGTGAGGGGTACAGTGGAACCACCATCAGAATCCAGGTCCAGGACGGTGTGGGGGGCTGTGACCTGGGGTCCTGGTCCCAGTTGGCACTCTCGAAGACTCTAGAGATAACTCAGGAGGGGCACAAGGCAGAGAGGGAGTAAGCAGGGGCCTGGGTCAGAGCACCCCTCCCACCCTGACCATCCCCATATGCCCTCTGCTTGATCCACCCAGGGTATCCCCAAGCCCCACACTAACTGGAGCAAGACTGTCAGCAGGGCTCTGGGTATTGGTGGGGCACTGGTGCCCATAGCTGCCCTCACAAAGTCCCACCCTAGAGGGGGTCCGGTGCCATTTGGCCTTTTGCTGACGGGTCCAAAGGAGTTGGAGATGCCATTGCTGGTGGCTCAAGACCACTGCTGGCTGGGTGCAGTGACTCACATCTGTAATCCCAGCACTTTGGGAGGCTGAGGTGGGAGGATCACTTGAGGTTGGGAGTTTGAGACCAGCCTGGAACATGGTGAAACCCCATCTCTACTAAAAATACAAAATTTAGCCAGGCGTGGTGGTACATGTCTGTAATCCCACTACTCGGGAATCTGAGCCATGAGAATCACCTGAATCCAGGAGGCGGAGGTTGCAGTGAGCCAAGATCATGCCATTGCACTCTGGCCTGGGTGACACAGTGAGACTCCAACTCAAAACAAAACAAAACAAAAAAATGGCCAGGCAAGGTGGCTCGTGCCTGTAATCCCTGCACTTTGGGTGGTCAAGGCAGATGGATCACCTGAGGTCAGGAGTTCGAGACCAGCCTGGCCAACATGGTGAAACCCTGTCTCTACTAAAAATACAAAAAATTAGCCGGGCGTGGTGGCGGGCACCTGTTATCCCAGCTACTTTGGAGGCTGAGACAGGAGAATCGCTGGAACCCGGGAGGTGGAGGTTGCAATGAGCCAAGATCATGCCACTGCATTCCAGCCTGAGTGACACAGTGAGACTCCATCTCAAAAAAAAAAAAAAGACCACTGCTTCAGAGGGGCAATACAGACTCAAGGAGGCCTCTTTAGACCCTGAATCCTATCCTAAACACACACTCTAAAGAAAAGAAACCCATTTGATCTTCCTGTTATGTTTCTCTCAAGCCTCATCTTCCCCCCATTTATTCTAAAAAAAACCCTTTGGAATTCTACTCTTTCCTCCTAGACTTCCCTGAGACCCTTCTTTCCTTCCATAACTCTTTCCTGCTTTTCCCTGACTCCAACTTTTTTTTTCAGTGCCTTTCCCCATTCACCTTGGACACCCCCCACCCCGCTCTCCTCCCTCAAGTGTATTTCTCCCTTTCTGCTCAAGTGTAGGAACTGGGTAATGAGTAGGCACAGGTTGGCTGCTTCTGTACCACAGCACTAACCATTGGCCTCCATGTTCCTCAGGAAGGAGCTTCCACTGGGCCAGGGCCCCAAGGGCCCCCAAGGCTGGCCAGATCCCCAGTAAGACCTAGCTATACTAGCAGAGAGCAGGCAAGGCTAGAAGTGCCTGCAGGTGTTGGCCTAGCCGACTGCCCAGTGCCAGTCCCTCCAGGAAGTAGTCAGCACAGGCCACAAGCACTGCAGAACCCAGGAGGGCTGTGCCAGAACTGTGAATGGATGTGGCCACCGAAGTGTGAGCAGAGCTTCCAGCAGTGCCAGACCCACCAGCCCCTCAGCTGGCACCCAGGCTGAAAGTGGTCAGTAGATGGGCTCAGTGCCCAGCAGGGCTCTAGGACCCAGGGTCAGGCCTAGCAGGAGACCAGTCAATAAGAGCCCAACACAGTGAATCAGCATGGTGACCACGCCACAGGTGAGTCCGATGACCACGGGGATGCCTACTTTCATTTCCAGGCTCAGCTGTGTCTCCAGCACCCACACCTTGTGGCACAGTAGGAAGCTTACCAGAGCTCCTGACAGCAGGCCAGAGAGAAATGTCACTGTCTTGAAGCAGCAGTAGCCTGGGAAGTGAGGCAGGAGGCACTGAGAGGCAGGAAGGGGGCTCTACAGGGATGGCTCTGATGAATTGCAAGGGAGAGGAATGGCTCACTAGAGGTGCAGAAGACAGGAGCAGCACATCAAGGGACCTCAGGGCCAGGGGCAGAAAGGGATAGCTTGGGGTCAGCGGCACTGTTTCAGGAACTGTGAGGGAATGGGAGGGAAAATCAAGAGGTAAGATGGATACATTGAGCGGAATAAGGATAGAAAGAAGGTATAGTCCTTCCAGGGACAGCAGATAGGAAAAAAATCATCACAAGCTGATTCTGGTTTTGAGGAAGAGTGAAGCCTGAAACACAGAAAATAATTTAGGAATGGGGTTTTCAGGTAGGAGGTAAGAGAAGGGCAAATGATAGACGCCAGAATGAGAGCTGGAAGGCATGGGCCATGGAGGATGGACAAGAAGCTGGCAAGAGCAACATGGGCCTAGGAATACAGCCAGAGCAACATGGGCCACACTGGAAGTAGGTACCACCTGGCAGAGGAGGTGAGATAGCCCAGGAGCAAGGGGGAAAGTTAGCATCATTCTTGAGGGTGACAGTCTTGGGCAATGGCCCCCCCAGGTCCTTGGCCCTGCCTTCACCAAAGCAGCAGATGATTCCAAAGCAGTAGCAAAGGGCACACACCAGGGCAGGCACCAGTTCAGGACTGCCCTGGGGTTCCAAAACACATCTTGGGTCTGGAGGCTCTGAGAGTTGTTGATTAAAGGGCCTGGGGTCAGATGTCATAGCCAGGGGCAGCAAGGCTTCCTCCACGGCCTGCGGAAGAGGAAGTGGTCACAGAGAGGGAGGTGTCAGCTCCTCTCATCCATCCATGAATGTCTTTAGGGGATTGGGAAACCTGCAGGGGGGCACGGGGCAGAAACTCAGGTGCCCATAAATCTTGAGGACTCTGTACCTCTATTTCTTTTAAAGAATGGTGCCCATTTCAGGAAGGAGTATGACCCTGTTGAGGTAACTGAAGAAATCTACAGGATTGGATTGAGGAGAGCAGGATATGTCTACCACTCTCTGAAACAAGGACACTTAAGTAAAATGTAAAATGAAATCTTTGTTTTTCTGCGATGGAGTTTCACTCTTGTTACCCAGGCTAGAGTGCAATGGCATGATCTTGGCTCACTGCAACCTCCGCCTCCCAGGTTCGAGTGATTCTCCTGCCTCAGCTTTCTGAGTAGCTGAGATAACAGGCATGCACCACCATGCCCGGCTAATTTTGTATTTTTTTTTTTAGTAGAGACAGGGTTTCTCCATGTTGGTCAGGCTGGTCTCGAACTCCCAACCTCAGGTGATCCACCCACCTCAGCCTCACACAGTGCTGGGATTACAGGCATGAGCCACTGTGCCCGGCCATGAAATCTTATAAAGTAATGAAAATCTTATAAAGTAATGAGCCTTTGTCTGCCCTGCTCCCCAACACCCTGCAGCTCTTCAGGGTGAGTGTAGAAGAAGCAGGAAACCCTTGGTGTGTGGAGGGAGGGGTATAGGGACATTATTACCCCATCTGCCACTCGGACTTAATACTACTCCACTGGATTGGGAAGGGTGAGATTAACAGACAGGGGAGAGGGAGGGAGAACAGGAGAGAATGAGTCACGGTGGGGTCTCTGGACAGCTGCTCCAGCCTCAGGGCAGAAAGAGGGAGAAAAACCAGACACCAAGAGTTTTAGGGTGAAATTAAGTAGAGACAGTCATCCACAGTTTGTCAGGGTTTTGAAGTCTCAGCTTCAAGCTGAGATGGAGTTGTTGGGACAAGGGGCATCCAGCCAGTCCTAATCCCACAGTCCCTCATGGAATAAGCAGGCACTTTGCCCACAGACATCTCACATCCTGGCAGCCACCCGAACCTCCCCTTAGGATATTGGTGAGACTTTTCCTACCCCACTCTTCCCCCAGAAGTATCAGGGTTGCCAATGGGATTTGAATTCAGATCCTGAAAGGAGAACGCCAAGGAGGAGCTGGCGTTTGGGGCACTGTGGGAATGAGGTGGCATGGATGCAGGCACTTTAATTCCTTCAGCTGTCCTTTGGATCTCAAGGTCCTAACAGGCTGGAAAGTTGGCTCCCGGGGCTTCTCTCCTCAATCTGCTTGGAAGCCTGGGGACCGTAAACAAGGGGAGGGGTTGAGGAGGGGGTGTTAACTACTCACCACCCTGCCAGGGTTGAGGAGAGGACGGGGTGGAAATGCTTCCCTAGATCCCCAGCTGCATCCCCTCCCGGAGGTCCTAGGCGCCAGGGCAGCTGTCAGTCGAAGGCACCCCCATGGCCACTCTGTTTGTTGCCCCCTAAGCTCTTTCAAATCGCAGCCCAGGCCCTAGCTCTAGCCCAAGCCCTAGCTCTAGCCCAAGCTAGAGCTAAATGCAACTAGCTTGGGGGGTGGAGAAAGGAGACAGGGTGTGTGCCCGTGTGTGTGTGTAGTTTGGGGGGTGGAGAAAGGAGACAGGGTGTGTGCGTGTGTGTGTGTGCGCGCGCGCGCGCGCGCGGTAGGAGCGGGGTGAGGGGGGTGACATCACAAGGCAGGCCCCTCCAAGTCTTTCCCCTGTATGTGGGGGGACACAGGTTGCCTACTCCTCTAGTCCAGGACCAGAGACCCCCAAGTATATAGCAGGTAAGAGTCTTGAGGGTCATCCCAAGAGTTTTGGGGAAGGGTCTTCGAATACTTAGGAGATGACTCGACAACTGGAAGCGCTTAAAGCCTCAATAAGGGTCCCAGCGCCCCCCCTGGCTCCAGCTTGGTTTCTTCCACTTCCCAGAGAATTGGAGTATTGTCTTCTGGAGAACCGGGTGGTTGGGATCGGGGACCTAGGGAAGGGGCTTTGCTGGTCTGGGAGCGCCAGCTGGGGGTTCATGTGTGGAAAAACTTTCGGATCAAGACGGGGCCTGGAAGGGGCACTGACAGGAGAGCTGTAAGGCTAGAGGCGTGCGCAGGGACCAACAGAAAGGGAACCCAGCTGGGTCTGCGTGGGGGCGCGGCGCATGTGGACGTTGACCAAATAGCCTGGTATGCAGATGAGATGTCAAGTAGCATGTAGATAAGTTCAGTGTTCTTTGGCTCTCAGCTTAGGTTCTGAGCCTAGCTGAGTTACGCTCCCAGTTCCTAGGCACCGCTCGGCGATCGGGCCTGGGGAGCTACGTCCAGAGGGGCGGATCCAGGCCGTTGGAGCTGCAGTTATTAGGGGTAGCTCACCAGCTGGGTCAGGCGCAGGGGAGGCCTTGGGTTGCTGTGAAAGGAAAGGCAGTGCTGCGGGGCTAGGGAGGAGGCCAGTCCCGGGCACCCTCTCTTCTGCTCCACCTCCACAGGATACAAAGGGGCCTCTGTTATCGCAGCAGCCGGCACGAAAAGGATCAGGGCAGACTCTTCTGAGCTCCCTGGTTTTGTGTGCAAGGGAAACAGACTATGTGTCGTTCGGTGGCTGCCCTCCATGCCCCAGGAATACAAAGCCTAGGAACAGCCAAAGCAATCCTGAGAGTCTACCCCTTGTCTGCAGGCATTGGTGCAGAGCCCACCTGCCAACCTGCGGGAATCCTATTCCCACACGCAGAGGGAAGCACCAAAAGGCCCTTTAAAGGGCGGGGCCAGTACTTCCTTAGGACCGCCTCCTTGGATTCTACCCAGCGCTAGCTGGACTGGCTCGCCTCTCCGCCAACCACTGTTTCTTTTCCTTCCCGTCGCTTCCCGGGTGACCCCGGAAGTGGAAGTAGACCCTGGTCGGCGGCGGCGGGGACGGAAGGCGGAAGCAGAGCGTGAACGGGAGGCGGAGCCGGGAGAGCGGCTCTCATAGCTCCCCCTGGCCTCAGGCCTTGCGGCTCGAGGGGGAGGAGTTACCGCCGTTCTTCGGTATGTTACCTTAGTCCCTTTTTTCTTTCTTTTTTTTTTTTTTAAAAGACAGGGTTTCTCGCTCTGTCGCCCAGGGAGGAATGCAGTGGCGCGATCTCTGCTCACTGCAACCTCTGC